CGAAGTTGAAATACAAGGAGCCACAGAGCACAAAGATTGTCCAGCTGGAACAGGAGCTTGTTCGCGCAGAGGCCCAGAGCCTAGTTGCGGAGGCGCAACTCAGCAACATTGTATGGCCTTGATGTGCCGCCTACCTACTATGCCGCTAACCTCTGCTCTAGACTCGTCAGAAATTCAAGGAGGCTTACGATCACCACTTCGCGGCTACCATCGAGCGCGCTGAGAAGCAAATCATCCTTGCAAAACATGCTCGTCGACTCTTGACCCTGGTTGATGACACTCCCATTGTGCCTGGCGATGTCCATCCTGCCTTTGGCGAAGTCGAGGCTGCTCGTCAAGTCCTCACTGATGCAGAGGACGACCTTCGCAATTACGAGCTGCATGTTGATCCAATCCCGTCATACTCAGGAAATCTCGGCGTAGGAGCGATGCCTGGAAGTGCTACCAGTGCTTCTGCCCCTGAGCAGAGCTTTACGGGCACAAGTACAGAGAGATCATATGATGCGCTGGAGTCGCAAGGTGGCGGTGAGGTCCAGCCACCATACCCAGTGTCAGAAGCTGAGAGAGTCGAACATCAGGAGCCGGTATCAAGGCCAGAGGTAGCTAATGCAGCCTAGGTGGACGAGTACCTTGGAAGTCATCGACGGGGACTCGGAACTGATGGGGGAGGTAATGCCTAGTAGATTGTTTTCGCGTTTGTGTTCGTGCCTTGACACATCGCTGGATTTAGAGAATGGTTAATGCGTGAATGGATGCCTTTTTCTTTATACTGTATCCCTTTTTGAACAAGACTTGCTTCACCTGCAACGAAACGTACACCAATGTGAGCCTGTTACCGCCTAAGCTTGGCAAGAGTAATGATGTAGTGGACACATTTCAGACGGAAGGCGACATCAGGGCGCACCAACAGGAAGTGAGTAGAAAAACTGGTGCCTGGAAAAGTCGACAGATATGCGATGAAAGAAGAGAGAAAAGGTGGTCTCAGGGATGGAGGCGCAAGTACATAAACTCCTCCGTGCACGTTTGGCGGGGGCCCAGTTAGCGCGGAATGTGCCGCTTCCCAAGAAGACACATCGAGCTCCAACCTCACCTCAAATTCCCACGCAGTCCTCTCCAACTCCAGATATCGCTCGACAAGCCCTCGACCACGTCCCTTCACACCTCCGTTCACCCCCGCTCCTCTCGCCATGGCGGATCGCAAGAAGAGGGACCGTTATGCGGGTGCCGCCTATGAATTTGGGGCCAACTCTGCTGGACAGGCTGGCGGAGCTGCTCCACCTCCCGGGCCAGCTTATGGAGCGCCAGCACCCTCATACGGGGCTCCATCGCCGGGCTATGGAGCTGCTGCTCCTGGATATGGCGCACCGTCTCCCGGCTACGGACAGCCCGCCCCTCAGGACCCCAATGTTCTCAACCAGCAATTCGGGCAGATGAACTTGGGCCCTCAGCCCGGACAGGCTGCTCCACAGACACAGCAGCCGGTCGCTGCGACACAGCAAAACCAATTGTTCCCCTCAGATCTGATCGCACAGCCGTTCCACGTCTCCGAGCTCTACAATCCTCCACCGCCGATCCACCTACCCTCAAATGCGGCGGCCACGCCCTCCGAAATGGCCAACGAGTCGAGCAAATACTTGCGGTGCACGTTGAATACCATCCCTACCAACCATTCGCTTCTCAAGAAGAGCAAATTGCCATTTGCGCTGATCATTAGTCCGTATGCCAGTCTACACGATTCAGAAGACCCGGTGCCCGTCGTCCACGACCAAATCATCAGCCGTTGCAGGCGCTGCCGCGCATACATCAACCCCTTCGTCTCATTCCTCGATCATGGCCACAGGTGGAGGTGTAACATGTGCAACCTCACAAACGACGTCCCTCAGGCATTTGATTGGGATGCGGCGCAGCAGAAGAGCGTGGATCGTTGGCAGAGAGCAGAGCTGAACTATGCTGTGACTGAGTTCGTTGCGCCGCAGGAGTACATGGTTCGACCCCCACAGCCTCTTTGCTACTATATCATTCTGGACTGCACACAGGCAGCCGTCAACAACGGGCTACTTGCAGTTGTCTCTCGGGTCATCAAAGAGTCTCTCGCGCGCATACCCAATGCAGATGGACGGACGCGCATCGGATTCATGGCGGTTGATTCAGGCCTTCATTTCTTCTCTATTCCGCCGGATGACAGTGAGAACAACGATCCGCAGCAGCTGGTTGTGTCCGATCTCGAAGAGCCATACCTCCCCATGCCCTCTGACCTCCTCGTTAGCCTGAGTCAGTGCCGCAAGAACATTGAAAACTTCCTCGACCGTCTCCCAGCGATGTTTCAAAACACCCATGTTCCAGGTTTCGCGCTTGGCTCTGCTCTCCGATCTGCGCATAAGTTGATTTCGCCACTTGGAGGAAAGCTCACCGTTATCGCTGCGTCTCTGCCCAATGTCGGACATGCTGCCTTGAACCCAAGAGAAGATAAATCATTGCTGGGCACTGGAAAAGAAGGCAGCTTGTTGCAGCCCGCAAACAATTGGTACAAGTCCTTCGCCGTGGAGTGCTCAAAGAACCAGGTATCCGTCGATATGTTTTTGTTTTCCTCGCAGTACCAGGACGTTGCAACACTCAGCAATCTTCCACGGTTCACGGCTGGTCAAACTTATTTCTACCCTGGCTGGAACGCTGCAAGACAAGAAGATGTGGTCAAGATTGCTACAGAATTGGCGGACTACTTGTCAGCTGAGATTGGACTTGAAGCTGTGCTCCGAGTGCGCGCCACCACTGGACTCAGGATGTCTGCTTTCTATGGAAACTTCTTCAACCGTTCTTCTGACCTCTGCGCTTTCCCTGCCTATCCTCGAGATCAGGCTGTTGTGATCGAGGTTGCAATCGACGAGACCATCAGCAAACCGTTTGCATGCCTTCAAGCCGCTGTTCTACATACTACCGCAAGTGGTCAACGTCGTATCAGGGTCCTAACGCTTGCTGTACCTACTACTGAGAGTCTGGCATCAGTCTATGCTTCCGCGGATGCGCAGGCCATCACAACTTATTTCAGCCACAAGGCGGTCGAGCGTGCCCTTTCCAGCGGCCTTGATGCCGCGCGGGACGCGCTTCAAGCCAAGGTCATTGAAATCCTGTCGACTTACAGGAAAGAGCTAGCAGGAGGTAGCATGGGAGGAGGAGGTCTTCAACTTCCTCAGAATCTACGCGCCCTCCCTATCCTTTTCTTGGGTCTCATCAAGAATGTCGGCCTTAGGAAGAGCGCTCAAATACCTTCGGATCTTCGATCAGCGGCTCTTGACCTACTCTCCACGCTTCCGCTTCGGTTACTCGTCCAGTACATCTATCCCAGCTTTTACAGCCTTCACGTGAGTTTGTTACCTTGAAACGAGCGATAGCTTCAATACTAATATTTCACAGGACATGCCTGACGATGCGGGTGTACCAGAACCAACGACAGGCCAAATCACAATGCCCCCTTCTTTGAATCTTTCATCTGCTGCCATAGTTCCATATGGTTTGTACCTTTTGGATGATGGTGTCAACCAGTTCCTGTAAGTATAATCCTGTGCTCAGCAATCTTCTAGTGACAGATTAACATATTATTAGGTGGGTTGGTCGCGATGCTGTTCCAGCACTGCTTGCAGATGTCTTTGGCATCGAGGACCGCGCACAATTGAAACAAGGCAAAACTTCATTGCCCATCTTGGATAACGAATATTCTGAGCGCGTTCGAGCTGGTTAGACATTCCTCCTTCTTTTTACTATTTCACTGATGGCTAACTTTCATAGTGGCTGAGAAATCCAGAGATCACAAGTCGAAGGGTGTAGGAAGCATAACTCTACCAACACTATATGTCATCAAGGAAGACGGCGATCCAAGCCTCAAGCTTTGGGCACAAACGCTGCTTGTGGAGGACCGAGCTGATCAAGGCGAGAGCATTGTGCAATGGATAAGCAAGCTCAGAGAAAAGGTATGTCCAGACTTTGTGGATGTACCCTTGATATTGTCAACGTGGCCTGATTGATGACACCGCCATGGACCTGAGTTGCTGACTTGTTGGCTAGGTTGTGCAGTAAGCATGCAAGAAGGAGCGCGTGCTCGTGTTATTACACCGAGGCTTCCGAGAGACAAAGAGCGGAGGATGCCAGCTTGGCGTTGCAGACTGCTTGGGTGGTTACTGAGTCACTCGGGCTTGGGTAGAAACTAGATTACTGGCAAAGCTGATGCCTTTTCATGCCAAATATATTCAACCAACATACTTCCTCCAGATTCACCACTACCGTGTGCTCGATATTTCGCGTCTTACAATCACTGCAGCCTAATTCTTGCATTATCGCAGTAGTAGTCGTGGTTCAAGTTCAATGTTCGTCATAGCAGCACGACATGAAATGGTGCATGTGGAGAATGGTGTTACATTATCGGGGTGCAGGCTGCAGTGTATGTGGAGCTCAAATCGAGCCTAGATACGGAGAGAATGAAGGTGCAAGATGGGATTAAGAGTTTTAGAAACTCTATGGAGCCTGTTCAATTTGTAGCGTAGATGTAATGGATGATAGTAATTTTGCGGACTTGTGCTTGAATAAAAACAGCTCGTTGAAATACCATTGAGCAGTCTAATTGCGAATGAACAAGTCAGCTCTGAAATCGAGGCTGCAGGCTGATCTGAAAAAACTGTCTCTCGAAGGCCGGATTCGACGTTTGAATGATTTCAGTACTTGTTGCACTATCTATTCTGCATCCGAATGTGTAAAAGCCGATCGGGACCACGATTTCTGAAGGAAGGATCCATCGGAAGTGCCACATATGTGGGGTACTCGGGGTTTGTATTGTGTCCCGTGCACCACACTAGTAGACTTAGCCCCCCGCCATCTGTCCCGCGCTTTCCTGTTCCATCAAGCGTGTTCTGGGCAAGGTGGTACCGAAAAAGTCTGACACCCACTTTGTGTCGGGGTATATATATTGAATAATTTGAGAAACTTCCATCAACGTCTGGCATTAGATCTCCGGGCCGGTAACTCAGTGGTAGAGTGTAGGACTGCAGTTCACGTGACCGCCTTCCCGAAGTCACCGGTTCGACTCCGGTTCGGCCCTGACTCTTTCTTGCTTTCTTTTTTGCTTTTTTTGTTCAATGCATTTTCATCGTCTCTCTCGTCAAGAGCTCACAGCGCGTACTCTGAATGTTACAACGACCTATCCGCCCCTTAATTTTGGTTCACTGCAAGTCATGCACCGAGATCCTCAAGGGATGGCTGATAATAAGTTTCACCCTGAAAGTCTAGCCTGCGTGTAGTTAGAGGGCTCGTAGCTGCACCAGACCGTTACTCGACTGTGTTGAGAGCCCTCAAGCATTAAAAATGACTGATTGAATGAAGGAGTTCTTAGATGTCCACAAAGCACTTGGGTTATAGGATGCCAGCTTTCAGTATCGAGTGGATTAAGTCAAAGGGGGTTCACAAAGACTTCGCGTAACATGGAGCTGTCGTTACGGGCTTATCAGTGATGCCTAATAAGAACGAATATCTAAATTTGAACTCGTGTATGGACTCTAGTTACAAAGAGCATAATTGCATTTTGCTGTTAGTCAATAGCGATATCAACTAGCCTAAGATTGTTATCGTCCAGGTACTTGCGAACTAATGCCGACATTGATTATATTAGAGTATATTGTTTCTACCAACTACTCTTCTAGGGAAAACACTGCTTAATTTGTCTCCTATGTTAAAGTTACAGTGCCTTATCTAAACATTCCGGCGACCTATCCGTGTTCTAGGAAGGCTTCACGAAAGTTTCTTCTGTGCTTTCAAAGTTGTAACCTTCATGTCCCTTCTCGTTTTGCCTTCTCCGAAAGTTTTCCTCCACCTGCCGCATGAAGCTTGGCTTGATACTCAGCTCTTCTCTCGGCCCTGGTGCCCTTCTTTGGGGCATCCGTAGGAACCGGCTGTTGTTGCGCAGCAGGGGTTTTGGCAATATTCGCCGTATTCTTGTTGGGTTTTTTCCCGTCGCAGTTGTCTTTCCCGGGGAACTGAGCGCCAGCCTTTCGTTTGTCCTCTCTCTTGCGGAGGTGCGCTGGGTCGATGCTCGGCATATCTTCACTATAGAATTGCGACACTGTGAGATTGACCGGTTTCTCACCAAGAAGTGCCGCGTGCACCTGCGAATGGGAGACTATGTCCCCTTTCTCGTAGTGGTGCTTGACCAGGGCCTTGAAGTGGTTGAACGCCGTATGATTGATGCCGTGACCAGGTGGACCGGCGATAGATTCGCACCATCCCTTGAAATTGCCAGTCGTAACCTGGAATACCCTCGCACGCGAGTTCAAGAGACGAAGTTCATTTGACCTAACCGCGAATCGCAGCTTTGAGGCTGGATTCATTTCTGTGTGACCACAAAGGGAGATGAGTGCGATATCGACTTCTCCACCTTGAACTCCCCTGGTAGTGCTGCCAGTTCCCTCTGTCAGAATTTTGACCTCTACAGAGTCGTAACCCTTTTGCCGCAGGAGGTTTTGAAGAAGTCGTTGCTGAGCCTTGTATAGCGTGATAATGCCGATATTCGAAGGCATGACCTGTCCGAACTTGTGCTCGTCGTTCTTAGCGACATGAGGCTTGTACTTGAGCAGTTTAGAGACTAGCTCAACAATCACATTTGCCTCTTCGTGATTGCAGTAGGACGTGGTATCGCCATACTTCTGGGATTGCGCATCTTCGCTGGAAACATCGATGGCCAAGCGGACGGACCTTTTATTCTTCTTGGCTGCGCCGAGTTGACTAAAGAAATGCCTGACAGTCCGAGAGAGTGGCGTTCCTTCGCTTGTCAAAGGTGCGTCAATGAGTTTCCCGTCGTAGAATTGCGCATTATTATAGGCACTGAGATCCGGGTGCTGGCGATATTGAGTCCAAAGCATCACGACATCATATTTCCCGTTTGGGTCGCATACAAGTTGGCGGAGGATTGATGTCTCCAAGAGATGAAATCCCTCATTCGCCAGATTCGCAGTGACTTCAGGCATCAGCTGCTTGTGATCTCCAGACATGGTAAGCCACTTGATATCCTCTTTAAAAGGATCCAAAGCCATACACACATCAGGAATTGTTGCTTGTCCAGCTTCATCGATGAAAGCAGCCATTGGCCTGAAAGCATTGGCGAGTGTGGGGTGGCAAGCAGAGCTACATGTCGTAAATACCATGTCGACGTCATGCTTGAGGAAATGCTTGGTCAAGGTTTCGTGAGAAACTTGCAACTTTCGGTTGATTTCTGAACGTTGCTTGCCACAGACGGACTTCGCCTTGGCCAAGTTGTCACGGAATTCCCTCGCAGCCCCATGCATGTCGTATATTGGGTTGCTTGCCCACTTTGAGATGGCCTTGTCAAGTTGCTTGTGGAACAGCGTATCGGGATCAGACCTCGCGGTTGCTGTGATATTCAGGTCGACAACGCCATCGTACTCGTCTCCAGTTGTGCCAGGAGCTGCAAGTTTCTCACGCTGCTCGTATGTCTGATAGTCGCCGACGAAACGAACCACGCAAGGTTCCTTGGGTTCGTCGGCTTTAGGTCCCCCGAAAACGTGGGCAATGTGCTCAAGCGCAGTCGTAAGAGTGAAGGGGCGGTCAGCTTCGCCGGCTTTTTCGACCCTTTTAGCCTCCTCGGTCTTGTCCGTTTTGACAGTCTGGCGCTTTTTGAGGAAAGAGGATAGCGCAGCATCAACAGCCTTGTTCGAAGGGCACGTGAAAAGGATTTTGTTTCCAAACCGGCAATGCTCCCGAGCAGCAGCAGTTATCGTAGTGGTTTTGCCAGTGCCTGGGGGTCCGTCAACCAGCGTCAGGCCAGTAGGTGATACGAAGGAATGCATAACAGCTTCTTTTTGATCTCCATTAAGCTTGAACACGGTCTTGAGGCGTTTCCGTATATCAGCAAGTTCTTCCTTGCTGATGTCGCGTCCTGAATTTTGCAGCTCAGGCGCAATTGTGGCACTGGTCTTGAATATGACAGCAGGAATGTCCACGCCCTCCGTGCGCTTGAGCTCCTGTCGTGCCATAGACTCAATTGCAACACGGGCGTGATGCCCAGCAGTGCTGTCATCAATGAACTCCAAGTCAACTGTATAGTCTTCGGTTTCGAAGTCATACTCGGGCCCAGAAACTTGTGCGACAAAGTCCCAGTCATCGTGCTCCTCCGCGGTAATATCGTCAGCACCAATAGCTTCGACGACCGAACCACTATAGTGATGGACAACATCGCCAATGACGCCCACTCGAAGCTTGAGACGAGTGTCGATGTCGAGCTTGACGAGCTCGGCGTGATATCCCGCGGAAGCACCGGGAAGGGAAACTTTCACAATGAAGCCACCGGAGAGTCCCTCGATAGCCTCAAAGCGTGCGGTGCAGCGGCCCCTGGTTGTGGTCTCCAGGCCTTGAATGATGCGCTTTTGAGACTCACGCTCACGAGCGAGGCTGAGACGTAGCATAAATGAGCAGTCTTCCGCGGAAGGAAAGACGACCATTGGCTTGAAAGGACTCCAATTGAATGCCTCGACTTTATGGATGGAGCCGTTTGGTTTGGCGGCATATGTTATGTATTTCGTGACCAACCATGGAAGTGGAATCAGGCCTTCGAGATTGCATTGGCTGGAGAAGATGTAATGGTCTTCCGAGGGGCGATCATGCTCTTTCGGTGTCTCATATTGAAGCTGGTAGCCCCAAAAGTTCCTATATGCTGAGCACAAGAACATGCATCCCAAGAAGTAGTTTTTGAAGTCCGTCAGCACGTTGACTTGTCCACAGTCCATGCGGCGGAAAATATCGAGCCTGCAAGCCGTGTCCAGGTAATATATAGCCTGCTCGAACTGGCTAAGGCTGGCTTTGGTCTGGACATCGCGACCTTTGGTTCGAATAGCTTCCAACTCCTTGTCGGTAATACCGGAGAATACTGGGCGGCAGGAGTAAGCTCGACCTTTGCTGGACTCATCGTGAGGTACAAGACCAACGCGGATGCGCATCATGTTATTCTTCTCCGCGAGTGTGAGTAGGTCCTTGTAGCCGCGAGCAGCCGTCGTCAGGAACTTTGTCTTCTCGAGCTCACTCATTGGCGAATCCCAGAACTGAACGTCGATCGCAGCATCTCTTCGTTGAGTGAGCCCGGCCGCCTTGTCCTTTGTGGTAGTTGCCGGCAATATGGAATTCGCAAAGATGTGGTAAGTGACATCTTTCGTCTTCGACTTTGCTTGAGATTCTTTGGTTAAAACATCGCGAGCAATGTGAAGCCGAATCGAAGGCATCTGGCTATCTGTATTGAAAGATACCTTGATGAATTTATCAGCGGGCGAATGCTTGACGGCGACGAGCCCAATGGATTGTCGCATGTTTTCGCCAGTGATAAACCCTTGTTCTTGAAAGATGATTTGAGCAGGCTGTCGATCAAGCTTGAACGGAGTGAAATTCGGCCTGTCGTTTCCCCGATAGTCTCGATGAATAACAGTCAGAGGAATGCCACTGATAGTATCAGGATATGGGACCTTTCCATCGTTCGAGAATTCCTGAAACTTGAAGTTTTCCGGTATGACATCGACGATACGCATGATATCCTGTGGCTCGGATTCCTCGGGCCTGGAAGGTCCTGCAGCATCTATCATTTGAGTATCTTCCGCTGATACTGCTGTTCCAGGAGCGTCGGGTAGCTCGTCATCATCGAAGTAGGAAGTGTAGACTAGTGAGAGGCTGCCCATGTCGCTGTCGCTCTCTCCACAGACGGCGGTCTGGTACGCGAACCTACTCTCGTGTTAACTTAAAAGGAGCTCAGGCCTCAAAATCTGCACCAGAGGCCTTTGCAATGCGCAAATATACACCTGAAGGCTTAGAACCTGAGATAGAGCCTGCTGCCAGCTAGGTGTACAGCTGTAAAGAATCTCACAGGTTATTACTGACTGTGAGGTGGTGTGCGCTAGTGTTTGGGTTGGTACCGAAGCCTGTGCTTATTTCACGCTTTTTAGTTAATAAGAAAGAACTGGTATGTGAAAGCAGGGTGAGGAAACTGATGGCATCGCACTCTCTGGTCACGTGATCCCATTTAATCACTTACTCATCTTCTGAAGGCTC